TAAGTAGTCTGCCAATTCCATCAGGATCATCTATAATAAAAATAGAGCCACTTAGACCGCTGGAAGGTGCTCTGGATAAAACTGCTCATCATAAGACAGGTGTTATGATACTAGTTTATAATAGCATGTATGCAATACAATAGCAGTGGTAATACAGGCATATACAGAAAAACACATGCAAATTATTTTGTCCAATATTTAGTTTTAAAATTTGGCATTTATGTGCCTTTATTGTAGCTTCTTGTAGATTTCTTGCTACGCAAAACAAACAGCTGTGGGTGGAAGCAGTTCACTTGTTGATCAGATTGTTTGATGAGGGACTTTCATCTGCTTTTTCCCAGTAAAGGTTTTAATGAGGCAGTTTTGGATACTAGAAGCATTCTTTCTTTCACTCCACCTGAGCTCACCTTGATGGCTCCGCCTCTTTGCTGTCTGTGTAGACAGACTCCATTCTAAACAATGACAACACCATCCTCACTTTGGCTTGTGTTATCAGTCTTTTTGTGGGGCTACTTGAGGTTAATGTTGTATTAGTTTATATTCTTATGCACACTCCTAAATACATTTCCACTGCAGGTCTGATTTTAGTTACAGATGTAGTAGAAACGCTTACATGGATTAAATCACTGAAGCAAAGAATTTGGCCCAAGGATTTTTGTAATAGAGTTATTTGAGTTACTCGATGAGTTGTTGCAGCCCTAGTAGTAGTACTTTAAATTACTGCCTCCCAAGGAGTTCTTTGACTACATCCTGTTTGCACTTGGAAACCTTCATCACTGTATCTTGCAGTACTATTATTGTGGCAAAATCTGCATAGAGACAGACAAATAAACATCTCCCAAGGGCTCAAAACCATCATTGTGGTAATTCCAGCAACATCTTGTCATGATGACGGATAGACAGACCTACAAAGTGAAAACAATACCAGTGTCAATGTCACAGCTGGTAAATTCAAGCATCTGTATTGGCACATTAAACCACAAGGTGGATAGCAAAGTACACCCACACAAACACAAATGTGCAGCACTGAGCTGGTAGAGAGGTAATTTGACAGCACTGAGCACTGGATGTGGTGTTGTCTATGTGCTCTTCCTATTGTTCTCTCTCTCTCACACAAACACACACACAAGCACAATCATGTACATTTCCGTCTTTCACAAAACACACTAGGCAAGACCTCACAAGCTACTCTGGAGACAAATTGCACAGGTCCTCTTTCAGACGCAGAGATACAAAGGGGTGAAAAAGAAAATTGGAGAAAAAAAAAGGCAGGGGCTAGTACGTATAGAAAATTACCACAACTTTAGAGAACTACAACTTTTCTCTTTCTCACTCCCTCCTCCGTCCACCCCACTACGCTCCCATCACTGCCTCCATTCACACTAATCTCTCTCCTCACAGTACCACCCCTATCTCTCTCTTTCTACCTCATTCCCTCTCCTCTGTCACAGAAAACAGAATCAGGGTAGAGTCAGCCTCGAGGCAATCATATTTAGATCAGCTATTTTGTAATTTCTTTTTTCTCAGCAAAATCGTTCAATGCTTTTCCCTAAAGGGACATGTCAGGGCCCCAATGGCTCATTTCTGACTTACACTGTGTATTTCTGTGGGAATGCATATTTTCTAAAAAAGCCCAGCATGGGACAAGTGTTGCAAAATAATTAGGGCCATAAATGGTATGGAACGGTAAGTTGTCGTTACTATTTGTTACCATATTATTCGTTACATGTATCTGTCCTTAAAAGTTTAGTTCCTTTGCTGTGCTTGCAACAGCATAACCAGTTTCTGGCCATATATCAAGAGCAGCTATTTTTTAACCGCATCACATTAAAGGCGTGAAACTTTATCCAGAAGACAAGGCACAGTGTAGCATCCTCCTTTTTATATGCAACAACTGCTTGACTCCAAGGCTTGGAAAGAAGGACGGTACAGTGAAGTATAAAACCACAAAGTTAAAATACTTTAACTAAGATTTATGCATGTGCACAAATTAAGTTACCATGTTGCAGTCATGTGTGTTATTCTTAAATGAAAGCTCAAGTTTTGGTTAAATTACTGTTAAAATTTCAGATATTCTATCGCTCGCCATGACATGAAGTCTTAATTTTTGGTCTCTCTGTTATTATTATTTATAATGCTTTGGGGTTTCCTTTTGATTTAGCACCTACAGTTTTAACTTATTCATATAAAAAAGTCACCACAGATGAGTTATAGGCACACTTACTCCCCAAGTGGTTAAATGACTTGTCTGGGAATCAAACCCCTGATTTCCCAATAGCAAAATGGCTTCTACATATCATAGATAACATTTGTGGCATGTTTAGAATACTTTTCACTTCAGGCACATCTCCTGTAGTCTACAGTCATCACTTAGCAACTCAGTCTTCCCCTAAAGAAACACACATATACACACACACACACACACACACACACACACACACACACACAGTAACCATGATAGCCGGATGTACAGTCCATCATTTGATTTGGACAAAGTATTATTAAAACCCACTTATTCCTGGCTGTAAGCGCTATAAGCTGTGGAAACTATTCTGTCTGCCACAGGCTGAAAAAGCAAGTCCTGCAGACATCTGCTTCAAATCTGACCTAAAACAGTAGAGGCTGACACAGAAAGAGTTTAAGACTACTGTTACTAAGACAGCGTCTCTCCTATTCATTCATTATGGCAGCACACTTTGTTTAATGTCATTACAACTCTTCTTCCATCTCTCATACAAACTGAACATTTCCAAACAAGCACTGTAAGCAAACCTTTGGTTTCCAAGGCAAACTACAGTAACCAATAACTGAAGCCAGCCAGCTAAAAGAGCACAGTGCTTTCCATCTCTTTCCGCACTGCTAAACAAAGTCAAGTACAGTTTATTCCTGTAGTTCAATATCAGCTTTAAAATCTCATTTACTTATTATGAGACCACACCAGCAGCAGTTCACAGTCGTGCTCATGTTCTCTGTGAAGATAAAGAACCTCCTCCACAGCCAGAAAAGCTAAGATAAACAGTATGGGCAAAGACTCACTAACTAAACACTCTTAGCATCTGATTTATAGGTCAGAAATCCATTTTATAAGGAAGCAGTACAGTTGATTTAGTGAAATCATTTCATCAGTATACTCAGTATCAGTTACTTCAACCTCATTCCAGTTGCTATACTGGGATCGATTGAGTGGTCAACGAAACAGTGATGGTGTGGATATTTAAATGACGGTTGTTATACAGCCGGTAACATGTGATGATATTTAGGGATGATCACAGCTCCCATAAATAAACATAATGCCTAAAGGTAACAAGGTAAACTGCTGAAGTATGTTATAGGGTATATATATCTCGCTAAAGGTACAAGCCCAACAACCTTACAGAACAATGCCCAGAAATGATAATTCGCAAGAGTATTTCACCTTACTGTGAGAAATACACAATACAGAGCTCCTATTAAAAGAACCAACAGACATTCAGTTTTACATGTATACAGCTACAGGAGTGCATGTGTGTAGGCACTTTAGCAACACTGAATGACTGCATTATAACAAAGCAGACGTAACCATTAAAGACATGAGATTCAAGTCAATCACAGTTACAAGGAGAACAAATGTATACAAAACTATAGTCCACAGCAAAACTAATATGGCCACCAAAACTGGCTAAGAACCACCGCGTCAATGTGTAAATGAAGTCTGAACAACATAATGATACAATGAGCTTGATATTTACTGCTAACAAGGTTAAAACAGCTATTAGGAGACTAACACACAAGGCTACAGTCTAAGTACAATACCATTTACCTGTATCAGCTGTACAGTTGTACTGTCAGCATGTCACCTAATGTTTTGGCAAAAAAAAATTCTTTATAATGGTTGGTAATGAAAGGACTTCAGTTTTGAAAAAATATATACACAAGAATAGAAGACTGTGGAATTATCTTCAGTTTCAAAGCATATTGACCAGTATTATACAAACATTAGACTGACAGCTGGAGCTAATTTCCCACACTTGGTGTGGGTCAGGATGACGACTACAGCAGCTGGCCGTGAGCAAAATCAACAGCGTGGTAAAAGTCCTCTTCAAATGTGGTCAAATAGCCATCACAAACCTCACCATGAGTCACCATCAGATTTTAAGCATTGGGTTGAGAAGAGCTTTAAACTGTGCCGCTCTTATTTCACAGCAGGGATCTTTAAATGGAGCTCCAGTGGAGTCCCTTTTCAACTAAGAAAGATGACAAATAAACTTCAAGCTGGCTTCGTGAGTGGTTTGTTCTGGGATGTTCTCACACATTATTAAGCCACCTAAAAGGGCAACTGTTGTTGTTTTTTTAAATCTAAATTAAGTTGACTAGATAGATGTCCCTCCTTAGCATTTCTCCAGCTCCCTGCTGTCTGTTGAGTTCTTGTACCTTTTCCAGTGTCTAGGTCCTCTTTGTTTTCCACTGCATGACTTACTCAAAGAAAGCTCAATGCATCTCGTTCAAATTCAGCGCTATGACATTCGAATTACTTGAAATTCAAACAACCGACCACCCAACAAATAATTCCCTTTCCCAACTTCTCGGCACTGGAACTTATAAGTTAAACTACACTACAGAGTGCAAAAATCAATAAAATCTACAGAAGACTAACATCGCAGCACGGCAGAGACCAAGGCAGAGACCAAGGCAGAGGTCTGAACAGTCTGATGAAAATAAAAGAAGAGCATAAGTAAGGCAAAGTAGGAAACAGAGACAAGGCAAAAAGCATAAAGGGGGTGGGGTATTGTTGATTTTGTTGTGTGCTGAGAGAGCAGTCCACCTTACCGCTCATCCCAACCACCACATCGCACTGACACCATCGCCTTTTCACTTCATCACCAATAACATTTGCAACATTACACTGACAAAATGCATAATAAACAATTACGAAAAATATGAGGATAATGACAGTGAAGCTGATCATTATCTACATGAAAACCAGTTAATGATTTTAAGAGAGACTGATCAAAGTTACTCACAATATCTCATCGTTTTGAAATTCCAGGACGCCGTGAGAGTCTTCAAAGTCTTCTCCACCACCTCGCGCTGTTCCTTCCAACGTCTTGTATGGCAGCATGACCACGCCACGAGCCCCTGAGGTTCTCAGCACCTTCACCTCCATGGTGCCAACGCTCTCGCTGACATGGCATACGGGCTCCTCAAACGTAAAGATGCCGGCATGATCGTCGTCAAAGATGGTAACGGTTGCTGTGGATGGCATGCCGAGACAGGCCACTGAGTCAACGTGATTAGCTGACTCGCCCCCCTCCTCAGGTTCCTCGCCTTCTGATGTCAACACTTTGACACTGGAAAGGTGAATCAAGAAGTTTTCATCCTCCTCAAAGATGTCATCATCAATGATCCCCACACGGACCTCCTTCATCGTCTCACCAGGCTTGAAAACCACTACACCCTCGGTGAACTCGTAGTCCGAGCCAGCGTTGGCTGTGCCATCTTCTGTCCGGTACTCCACAGAAACCGTCTTGCCCAGGTCGCCGCCACGCCGCACCACATTCACTGCCACTGTGCCACAGTTCTCAAGACACTGGTAAGAACCGGGCTCAAAAAAGATTTTGGAGACAGGATCGTTTTCGCCAGTTTCTGAGCGAACCTCGTGCATGCTCACAGCCTTTCGTGCTTGATCAGCAGCATGTTTTTTCAGGATGTTGCCAGCACCTGTCATCAGTCGGGTGGCCTGGCATCGATAGAAAGCACGGCTCTTCTGCTGCTGGCTCAGGACTTGGTAGTTGGCAAGCTCAATGAGTTGCTCCACCTGGTAAGAGAAAATACAAAAAGCCACAAAGAGTGCAACAACATGCATTAATAGTAGATTTCCTGGGGGTATAAATCCCGACTCCCAGACTGCTGAAACAGTATCCTATTTTATGTTTTTAAAAGCTGTGTGTCACTGAACCAATGTGGTGGAGTTTCATCAAGCTCGGATGGATAAATAAGATCTAACTACATGTCACATCAATGACTACTGAACAAGAAACTGTCAAATAGCAGTAAAATTATAATGAGTCAAACACTTACAGTAAGTCAAGCACAGTCTGGGGGAAAAAAACAGATGTAAATTACATGCCAAGCCAACCACTTAGTTCTCTTTCGCAAATCCTTTTTCTTGTAGAAGGACAAAAAGTTTTTATTTGAAAATGTTTTCAGAATTCAGAAATTTCGTCTTTGTGTAAATAGTAAGTCTGCAGCATTTTCTTTGTGAGAGAACAAATAAAAATACTGCATATTTTATTTGGAAATGTCTTTGGTTTCCTATTAATTTTCTATATTCACCAATACATAAGTGTGAAATTCACTTGTAAATATATATAAATGCCTGAATTTATTAAGAATTTATCTAATATTCTGCAACAGACTGGTGATCTGACCCTGTAAAAATGAAAGCAAACAGCAGTAGTTTTATATATTGCAGATTACCTTTGGTCTTGTGCAACTAGAGCAGCAATAGCAAGATATATTTCTGACTTTGTTACAAACCTCTTTGTCAGGATGTTTCTGTTTAAGCTCCTTCAGGATCTTGGCCATATCTCTCCGTGTTTCCTCCTCATCCAAGTCCTTCTCATCTATATCTAAGCCCAGTGGACCATCAAGGAAGTCAACACCATGAGAGTTCAGCATCTTTCCATCCATCTCAATGTCCACCTTAAAACAGAAGCAATAGAAGGACGGAAGGAAGAAGTAATCAGTACACCTCATTTAAGATTTTGTCAATATATCAATTCTTTAGGCGCTCTTCTGTAATCTCAAAGGTCAAGTGAGAACTGCATGTATGTGATGAGAACACAACAACAAGCATGAAATCAAATAGTGAGTGTTTGTGTGAATCCAGTCATGTGAACATGTTGGTGTCCAATAACACCCCTCAATCAAAGCAAAGAAGGGTGCTATTAGACACTGGTCAGTGAGAGTTTTATCTGTCAGTGTTTCAAAGCTCAGTTCTCACTGTTTTATTCTTGAAACTATTTGTTTTGTCAGCCACATTTAGGTCAAAAAACTTTTGCTTTCACATTTCCAAAGGTTTACTTTACATGTAACCATGGTAAGCTAACAGTACCAGATCCCAAAGGATGGGTAGGTAATATATTAGCCGTCAGTATTTGGATGTCACTTTATTTTGTAGCTGTCAGAATAAAGAAGTATTCTGTTTTTCACTGACATTGCGTTTTTCGTAGAGAATCATTTCATTGATGAAACGTCCTTCGTCTCTTTAAACGGGAAGGCAAGAAATACTCATTTTTTCCCCCAGGAACATATTTGAATTTAATTTAGTGATTTTTTTTCAGAAGATGAAATGAAAGTGTTCTTCATATACTTACGGAGCACTGATTCTTTATAATGCCATCAAGCAATAACACCATGGGCAATTTTCAAATGCAGAAGAAGAGACAACCAGGCTTCAAATTAACTGTAGCAAATCAACACAATCTACACCACAGTACTGAAGATTTAATTAGATGTGTGTGATGCACTTCATCTTCACATGTGTCATCAGATAATAGTCAAAATGAAAAATTAATAGCTGACAATACTTAAGAAGGTATTTGTGCGTGTTTCATAACAACAGTTTAGCATGGCAAAATGTCATTCTGTAATACAGATTTGAGGTACACATTACTCATGAACACTCTTCACGCACATACCTTAGCACCTTATCTTTTCCACCATGTGTTTGGATGAGGACAGCTTAATTATGTTTTTACTAGCTGACTCTTCTCACAGATATGTCGGATATGCTTTAGTTATAACTGTTAAGATTTTTATACGACACTAAGGAAGGCATTTTTTCTTCTGCAAAACTTGGTAGTAAGACATTGGTGCGATATGGGAATAAGAAACTGCTACAACAACAAAGTCTAACAGGGCAAATCAAGCAATTTAAGGAGGTTCCAAAAAGGAAAGGTCAGGCACATTAAAACTAATTTATTTGAACTGAAGATAAGAAAACTGTTCATTGTCCTGTCCTCACTCTTGTGTTCATTGCAAAAAACTGTACATGCCAAAGCATAGCAAAGAATAGTAGGTAGTAATGTGTGTCTTACCCTTTCTGACATTTTATTCAGTGCATTCCCCAGATTTCAGTAAATGACTAGTTAAATGCAATAAACAGTTATATGCTTTATACAAAAAATGTCTGTGGAAAATGAACCCTGGTGATAACGGCTGTGGCAACAGTGACAGCATCATACCTTGGAAGGAAGTGGACGATCACCCTCGGTCTCAATGATCATGCCACGCTGCTTGCCAGTGCGGTAGCGCTTGTACACATACTTGTAAAACAGCAGGCGGCGATCGGCTATCCAGGCGAACACCACACAAATGGGGAAGAAGAGGAAAGTGAGCAGCCCCTCCCACACCTGCACAACGCCAGGTGAGATCACTGACAGAATCAGGTAGAGCCAAATGTAGGCAAAAATACTCCAGGTGGCCGTGACAAAGAACACACGGAGGTGCTTGACCTTCCTCGTCTCGCCATCAGGAACGACATACACACAAATACCGATGATGACAAACATGTTGAACGCTGCAGAACCCACAATAGTGGAGGGTCCCAGTGTGCCAGCCTCAAACCCATGACCAATAATTTCTATAATGGACAGGAGGATTTCAGGTGCTGAAGAGCCCAAAGCCATGAGGGTAAGGTTGGAGACCGTTTCATTCCAGATCCGGACAGTAGTGGTGGTGGTTTCTCCATTGGGTTTCTTAATGGTGATCTCCTTTTCCTGTGATGTTATAACCTCTATTGATGCCATAAAGCGGTCTGCGATGATGGACACACCCAGGAACATGTAGACCAAAGCCACAAAGTAAACAGTTGCACGAGCGACCTTGTCTCCAAATGATGGGTTTTGGGGCTCCCAAATAGGCAGAATCACCCCATGTGAACACTGCTCAGGTTTACTGCATTCAGTTTTATTGGTGGACACAGCTGAAACAGAGCCACCCAGGCTTGCTTCAGGGGGTGCCCCGGCCAACGAGGGATGGAGATTAAGGAAGAGGATCACCGTAACAACTGTTAACCTCATGGTCGGGGACAGGCGGGAGGAGTGATCCCGACGGGCCATGTTGGTGTCAAGACCAGTACTCTGAGGTGTTAATGAGGATGTTGAACCTTCAGAGAGAAAACAACAGGAGAAAATACAAAGTATTATTAGAAATAAGACAAATGAATGTTGTTGAAAACAGGAACCAGTGGGGAATTCTAACATTTAAATCTCCTTTAACATGATTTTTATAATGTAGTGATTTTCACAGGAAAATATTTGTTTACTTCAATTTACTTACATTAAATGATGCTGCCTGCAAGGTGCCAATATCATGAAATATTATGATAGAATGTTGTACAAGAGCACGTCAGCATTGATAAAGTACATGATAATAGGGCTGGGCGATATGACCCAAAATTCATATCTCGATATTTTTTAGCTGGATGGCGATATAAGATGTATATCTCGATATTTTCTTTTTAAAGCCATAAGTTAAGAACAAAAAGAGAGTTCTTAGTCACACTGTGTCCCAGATGTCACACGGGCACTTTTATTTACATACAGCGTAGATGTACATGAAGAAATTACTCAAAAATAAATTATCAGCATTTATTAAATAATCATGGTCCATAAATAAAAGAAAACAATGTTGTTTTTGTGCATAACAAAAAGCTCACAATTGTGCAGTCAAAATGTAAACTAAGACGCTGAGCATAATAACAAAGAGACAGATTTCACAGCTGCACCGCGTCTCTGAACAGGTGCCATTTGTGGTCCTTATACACACAGTACGTATCACTCCGCGAGGCTCCTCCCCGGTTGCCGTAATTTTCCGAAAATCCATCAAGCGGTGCAGCTCCGTAGCTTAGCAAAGTCATATTAAAACATTTTTTGACAGATTGCTGAGCGCTGTGTACCACATAAAATCGGTTCGCGGTCAGTAAGCACAACCAGAATTCATACATAAGGCGCACTGTCGAGTTTTGAGAAAATGAAAGGATTTGTCGTTAGCGCGGTTAGCTCGTTAGTGCGGTTAGCTCGCTAACACGTTGACGCCGTCCAGCCCCACGCACGGTAACTCGCTAACGGAGATTTTCCGCTTTCATCTTTTCATGCAGGTGAAGCTATGGGGGAGGGGGAGTTGTGTTCAGTGAAGGAGAGGCGAGGCCGAGTAACGTTGCGTAGAGACAAAAGTGGACGAAAGAGAGGCAAACCTGCGGCTCCACAAGTATAATTATAACGTAACATAGACTATATCGATATAAACGATATTGTCCCATCTTATATCTCGTATGAAAATAAATTGATATTTTTAAAAAACTCGATATATCGCCCAGCCCTACATGATAAGTTGGGAGGTGTGTGACTAAAACCAAATAGCTCAGTTCACATGAATGCCTTAGGACCTTGTAAACACAACACCACAGAGATTAGCAGACATGTTTCAGGGCAGATGTTTGCGTAGTTGTTTAAGGACACCAAGTTTGAATAATCACACCAAAGATAAACTTGAGCTCAGCACTTTGGCTTTTCAAGGAGCAGCTTCTGAAACTTCCCTGCAGCGGTCCTGTAGCAATAATACTCTGCTCTACCTAATATGACACTGCTGGCAGTGGCCTTTATGAAAACAGTCTACTTCTCTCAGCAACAGTAACTTGTGAATAAGGTGGCTTTATTAAGACATCTTTTAAATATCACACACCCATAAGATGCCCACAGAGCTTCATCAATCTCCCCCGGTGAACCTTTCAGAGAAAAGGTGTAGCATTCTAAGTAATTATTTCAGATTGTATTTTTCAATGCCTGATTTGGGCTTATTGTTTCCAAAACACACTTTAGCATTGAGATGTGGGTAGTTCACAAATTAATCGTGTGCTTATTTGTGTTTTAAGTGTAGGCATTCACACAGACTAATCACTTTTGTCATAAAAAGCCCATGTAGTGACATTTAATGACAGGTACCAAAGAAAATGGGGGGGACATGCAAACTAGGGCTGCCACAAACGATTATTTTGATAATAGACTAGTCACCGATTATTTTTGCACCAGCATGCATCTGCTCTTATATAACTATCATTAGCTTACAGCTTTAAGTGTTTAAGGTATGTGCTAACTAAAAGTAAAGACAAGATGATAGTTAATTAAATGTTAATGACATTTGCAGATCGTTTCGGTGGAGTTTAATAAACTCAGCCGTCTGTTCCTTGCTATCTAAAATATAACAGTATATTCTTGAGCATCTCACAGTTCTGATAATCAGTTGTCTGCTTGAAGTTTATTCAGCTGTGTAAAAACTATAACTTTAATCTCAGCCAAACCGATTTACTCAGAAACAAATTAAATACTGAAAAAAGCCAAACAATAACATTTTTAAGTTATCTAAGTGACTTATATATGTTTAACCTGAGTGGCGAAAGACGGCTTGGGTTTGAAAACGATTTGCCAGGAGTCCAGTGTTCTTACCGGTTCTAGTGAGCCTTGCCCCCGGCTAGCGGCTCTGACGTCTCCAAAAACGTCAGAGCGCTTTTGCAAATATGTGGTGTCTTGATAAACTGAGCAGATATTTGAGGTTTACACAGCTACATTCTCGCCTGAAAATATGTTAAACTTTATTTTGTGACCCAAAAAGAATAATAAGAGTAATATTAAAACTAACTAGCTGCCGCCATCGTTGACAACTATTCTGGGCCGCTATGAATTCTGGGACACAACTTCTTCGGGGTTTAACCAGCTGGCATCCTTGTACATGCAGTGCTGCCTTCTTCTGTTTCAGTCCGTTATTACACTCTTAAATCATACTACTCATTCCTGTGTCTTTTGGGATCTTACAAAGCTTCAAACAACATGTCGACTATTAAATTAGTCGTCTACGATTTTAATAGTCGACGTAATCGTGACTAGTGGACTAATGGCAGCCCTAATGCAAACTGATACAACTTAGTCCTAACATCAGACTCGTATCTGAGAACTAAATTCTTGCTCCAAGGTAAACAACATAATTGGAAATCTGGCATTGCAACACCTGAAATGTATCATCATAAATACAAATCACTGAAAAATAACATGGATATTTTTCATAAGGCCGCTCATTTTTTATGGGAATTAATCAAACATATTGGAGCATTGGGACTCTGCTCTATAACATGATGAGTCTATTAGTGGACTCAAGGCAATTCTCTGGCATGTTTCTATCTTGGTGGCCTTGGAGTCTTTGCCTCATCTGTTTCTGTATTGTATGCACTTTTGTATGCAACAATGTGATGGTCAGACAGCAGAGCAGTAGGCAAAATATTAGAAAGTACTTTATCTGAATGAAAGGAGGAACAGAAAATATTAAATTGCTCCAAGTGAAAGGATAAACTTAGAATTGCAATGTTCATGTGAGTTGTAAAAAAGTGCAGTTACACTGTAGTTTGTAAATACTGCACAGCTTAAATTCGAGTCTCCTGAATTAGTGAAACCTCATTTCATCAAAATTTGCATTACTATAAAAGGTGCTGGGTTGCGGATGGTTATATAATTTAGTTTAAACTTCAGGAGAAGAACACATATCCACTCCTGGACCATTCCACAGAATTAAAGCCACACAGATTTTGCACGTTTGTATCTATACTTTGAATGCCTCTATGTCTAAATACAATGAAAAGAATCTTGAAAAAAAATCCATATTTTCACAGAAAATTTTTTTTAAATGTTCTTTGCCTTTTGCTATAGCACAAAAGTGCTATAGCAAAAGTCGTCATGACTGAACCATAAAATGTGCTTGATTAAAATTAAAGGTGGCCTGTTGTGCTCATTTCCAGCTTGGTGTTACTCCCAGTTATAAATAGACTTTTTATGTGATTCTTGCCTTGGTGATGCCCCACAATTCATTCAGTTTCTGAAAAATTAGATTAAATTAAATTGTCTTCTGACTGGCTGCAGTTCACAACATACAGCACAGCTTGAGAGATCTGAGTTTGCCAAATGCATCGACCATGCTGAAACAGAACAAGTGTAGCAAATTAAAACTAATTTACACAAAACAGCAGTGTAAATTAATTTTACCACTTTTTAATTGTTTAAGAAAAGCAATAAAGCAATGATAAAAGAGGTAATCCATTGAATTAAAGAGCAATAACCAGAATTAAGAGACAAAACAAAGCTCAGATCAGAACCTTTTTCAAACAACCTTTTTTCTTTTTAACTATTCACCCACAAGTGGAGCATGCAACACCTCCAACCTCTCAGTGACCACTCTCCATTGCAAGCTGATTGCGGAGGTTGCCTGCAGGTAGGCAACCTGTCTCCAAACAAACATGGTCTGACTCAGACAGTCAGGTAATGTTCTCCATCTAGCACCTTTATCCATTTGCAGTTAATATAGCGTGGTGCAGCAGCTACGTCAGGAGGGATTTCAGAAAACCTTGTCCAGGTATGAGGTTCTGGCTGGTTTCTGAATGTAGTTATTGTGAATTTCTGTTTAATGTTAATTTTTCTGCACATTAACAGCAACAGTCTTGTGATTCTTGCCACTTTATCATAGATAATCACAGTAATATCACAAACAGACTGTATGTAATTGTTCATTTGATCCCATTCAATCACAAACTGATAGCAGACTGACTCTGTCTTACTGTTGTTTTATCAGTGTCTTGACGCACCAAAGTCTCCTTGAAAATGGCAAGTGACTGCAAGCAGTAAAAGCCCTGGATCTCATCTTTGAAGCAATGATTTAAAGGGTAATGAGATCGCATTGCATACATACAAATTCATTGCATACTGTCGCAATAATTTTGATTATGCTGCAGTTAGGAACCACTGTTTTTCCTATGTGACAATAGCTGTACACAGCACAATTTTGCCAAGCTACTACAATAACTATTATGAATATAAATATATTTTTTCAACATGAATAAAATTTTCTGTCCTATTAAGCCAAGAATCCATTCTGACGCTGTTCATAGCTAAACACACAATAAAAGTTCCTTCAAGAATCTATTGAGAATATAATACAGTATACAGTATGGAGAGTATTTGTGTGTGTGTGTGTCTCGCTTAATGGTGTTGAAGATGTTTGCTGGCTAAATCTGTTACTTTGTAATGTAAAATCCACCAGTGGTGAATTTAAATATTTGGGTTAAAT